CATGGATATCTGTATTTAAAATGGCATACACATTGTGGCAACCACTGATGAACTCAGAAACTGTTCATCTCAATTTATTCCCTGCACTGAACAATGGTCCATATCTCAAGTATAAAGTCAGGTTAAGAGAGGATAAGTCACTTGAGAAGGAAATGGAGCCTTGCTTTGAAAGACAGGCTGTTTAGACTTGTCCTTGCTACCCCTTTGAAGCTCCTGCTTGAAGTCAAACCAAGCCATTTATTTACTTATTGCCTCTAGAGTCACAGAAAATGTGGACTCTCTTGATAAGCTGGAAAATGCCAGGAACCTGGGATGAATGGGGAAATGAAGACAATGTCATATTATTCTGTTTCTTGGTCTCATTCCTTCCGCGTCTGTTGTAAATTCAGCTTAACCATCACTTTCTCCTGGAAGCCTTCCCAAACCACCCAGCAACCCCCAAACCTGGGATAGATGCCCCTGCTCTGTGCTCTTAATGTCTCCTGTAGTCGTGGGCTGCAGTTACTTGTTTACTGGATTAACTCCATGAGATTAGAGCCATGTCTACTTTCTGTACTAACATATACCCAGACAGTACCTGCCACATGTGAACACTTAATCATGACTGAAAGAAGGGAGAGAAAGTGTTTGCCGAAGTTCTAAACGGCATCATGCTGAGGTGGAAAAGACAAAGGACTGGACGTCTGGAGACTCAAAGAAATAAACTGATTTTGGGCAAGTTCGTTTGGACAGGGGAGATGGGGTTGATGTCCTTATCTAAAAATGAGGATAAAAGCACTCTCCTATGAATAGTTACAAATATCAAATTAAAGAATGATCCAGGCTCTGATTTTTCTCCTCCTCTCTCTCTCCCGCTCGAACTCATCCATTTTATTGGCTGACATCTAAGTGCTGACAATTGCCATATTTATATCTCCAGCCCAGACTCCCCTCCTAGACTCCAGACTCACAGCCAATGCCTGTCTCTATGTGGACGTCTTTTGGGCATCTCCAAGAGAGTATTTGAATTGTGTATCCTCAGCACAACCTGCTCCTAGTCTCTATTATGTGAATAGAGCTACCATACACTCAACCTTTTGTTTGTTCTGTTCTGTTTTTTCCAATTAGGTGAAATTTACATAACACAAAGCCAGCCATTTTAAAGTAACAGTGCATTTACTACCCCCATGATGATGAGCAAACTGTCACCTCTATCTAGTTCTAAAACATTTTCATCACCCCAAAAGGAAACCACTTAGACATTAAGCAGTTAAGCCCAGTCCCACTCTCCCCTCAGACCAGCACAAACACCAATCTGTTTTCTGTCTCTATGGATTTACCTATTCTGGATGTTTCACATAAAGGGAATCACACAATATGTAACCTTTTGTGTCTGGCTTTTTAAGCATGTTTTCACATAGTATTTTTAAGGTTCATCCACATTGCAGCATGTATTAGTACCTGACTCCTTGTTATGACTGAGTAAATTCCATTGTATGTTATACTACATTTTGTTTATTCAGTCACTTAGTGTTGGAGCTGCCAGACTTTTGGTATCCAACCAATCTTAAATTATAAGCCTGGCCACCATCCTTCATCCCCCGCTTTCCCGTACTCCCTGCATTTAAAGTATCAGCAAGTCTTGTCCATTTTGCTTCCTAAATTGAGCTCAAATCCTTTTACTTTTCTCTAACACTATTACTGTCCTCTAGCCCAGACACCAATATATCTCTCACCTAGCTTCTAACTGTGATAAGATCTCATTCTTTTCTCTCTCTATTCCACTTCTCACCTGGTAGCTGAGATGGGCTCCTTTTAAAACATAAAACAGATCATCCATTCATTTAAGCAATTTACTAAGCACCTTTCTTCAGGGAGTTTGCCTCCCAGAGGCATAACAGAGAACACACAGATATACACCATTATATCAGGTCATTACTAAGCTTAAAATCCTTCAATGATTCATTGTACTTTAGATAAAAATCTAAGCTCAGCATGGCCTCCAAGACCCCATCACCTTCAAACTCAGGCCACTCAACACAATTTGCCCACTACAAACGCCAGCCACAATCAATGGGCTCCATTCCTCCACCTCACGGTACTTGAACAAGCTGTTCTTGCTGCCTCTTGATCTTGGCATTGCTGGATCTTTCTCGTTCCCCAGATCTCAGTGTAAATATCACTTCTTTAGGAGACCTTCCCTAACTATCCTGTTAAGCACATCCACCCTTCATTCATTTCACTCATTTAAGAAATATGTGCTAAACCCTGTGTTATGCTCTTGGGACAAAGCAACGTATGATCCCCTGGAGCCTGCAGTCTAAAGGGGAGGGCCAACAACAGGAAAGTACATAAAATAGATAAACGACTGTTATGAAGGGAGAATAAAAGGGAGGGAGTACAGAAGGCCTTTCTGAGAAGGTTGTATTGAAACTGAAAGACAGGGAGTCAATTGGACATAGAGTCTTTTATTCTCTATCACATCCTGGCTATGCAATGTGATGTTCCATCCCTCAACATTTGCTTTTGATGAATCCAGGTACAGGTATTCAATGTCTATCTCCTCTAACAGACTGAGCTTTCTCCCCAGCACCTAGGACAGCACCTACCCCTTGGAGACACTCAATACACACTCATTGATTAATTAGTAGATGAATGAATGGATGATTGATCAATCAATTCACCAATAAAAGCACTTTGGAAAGTGTTACAAATCGTAGAGTTGTGGGTGATTTTTTATCATTATTATTATAATTATTACTTTGTGGCAAAAGGACATCAACTCTGTTGGGTTTTGGAAAACGCTGGGTTTACCATAAAATGAGAATAAAAGTACCTAAGTTGGAGTATTACCAGACAACTAGGAGAGAATGTGTATACATAATAGACACTCAAAAATGGGAAGCAGTAGTCTTTGTGGCCATTATTATTAAAGGCTCCTCACAAAAGCTGACTCAACTCAAATTCCAAAACTCATTTTCAGTTGTAGTCATGAGATGTAAAGGTGAGATAAATGAATATTTAAAAAATATCTACTACTGCACCAGACACAGTACAAAGAACTACATCATTTGTGAGGTAGGGCAGCAGATGCCCCGGGGCAGCTCTCAACCCCTCTCCAAGACCAACTCATGACTCTCCCATGTCCAGCTGCCAGACTGTTGATTACTCCAGCTCCTAGCTGAGTCCCTAGTCAGGAACCAGCTTGCTGAAAAGACATCCTAGCTCCCTCCCTAGAGCCAGGCTGTATCCACTGGCTGGTCAACATTAGGCTTCGAAGGCCCACTCTCTTTGTCTCATGGGATGGACTGAAGCCTCTCTTGCACTGCACCACAGATCAGCACCTCCCTCTGTCCAATCCTTCTTCCCTTAACTGCACCCAAACGTCAGAAGTGCCAAGTCTTTCTCCAGGGAACCTGAACCATGACAGGTAAGCATGATGATTTCCTTTTAAATCAGAGAAAGAAGGTTCATGAAGGTTGCTAATGTCCCTAGAGCCTATAGCTAAAGTGACTTTCTGGTGGTGTGATATCCCAGCAAGCCCTTGTTCTTTCTACTACCCCAATCTACACACAGCCCTGCCTTCAACGGCTGAGACCTGAGACGGAGTCTCTGCGAAACAGAAAGGGGAACCCAGGGAGAAGGGAGAGGGGAAGGGCACACAGAGGGCCTGAAGATGAGAAAAGAAGAGCAGAGGCACCCTTCAGAGTTCTGATGACAAGAGCGAGCTCACAGGCTCCAGAAACAATATCAAAATAATATGCAGGCTGCAGAAGCAAGCCTTACACGGACATCATCTGAATTCATGTCCAGAAGCCAGGGAGCAGGACTGGCGGGCAAAGGGGCCACCCTTAAGCGGGTAGAGTATCTGCAGCCAAGGTCCAGAAAGTAACTACAACTTACCAGCTTTCCGATGCTCCGGCCTCCATCCATTGTCCTCAGAGCTGCCAAAGTGACCTGGTCAAGGATCAGAATTCTTCCACAGCCCTCCTTCACTCCAGAATAAAATTCTAAATATTCTAGGGTTGCACTTTTAAGGTCTGTGCATGTTTTAGTTCTCTGCCATGTCGACAGCTTATTTCCTGCCTACAACAAGATCCAGTCCTACTCCGTTATCTGCTGTAGAATTATCTGATGTTCTCAGTCAGGAAACTGGACCTTTTCAGTTTCTTTACCTTCAACACAAGAAAATCCACCTGGAATTTCTGCTCCCACCCCCAACGGTTTTCAGCCTGGCAAACCCTCTGACTTCCAGTCAATGGTCACCTCCTCTCTGAAGCCTTCCTGGCTTCCTCACCGTCCTCTTCTCCATCTCGTGTCTTCCACACTACCCTGCACTACCACTGGCTCCTCCTTCTGTCCCTCTTAGCCCCAGGAGCTCCCCAAGGCCATTCTTCATGCTGCTAGGGGCTTGGCACAGGGCCTGACACTCAGAAAGAGCCGAGTAAGTGCCGGATGAATACACGCGGTGCGGTTTCCAGACCTATTCTCTGCTGCTAGCTTGGCCAGGGAACCACTGACATTTCACCCTGAGTGGAAATCGGAAATGGCACAACACATCTGACCCCCAACCCCAAGGCAACAGGTCATGAGGGGTCTGGGGACCTAAGGCAGGTGCTAGAAGCCGGCGCAGAGCAGAGGTCCGGCCGCCGCGGTTCCTGGTTCCCCGCAGGCTCTTCCCTGGGCCGGGCGCCGGGTGGAGGCAGGCTGAGGATCCACAGTCTTGCGCGCCCCCGGCTCCCGGCCCCGCAGGCAGCCCCCGCACGCCCGTCTGTCTGCCCCAGGGTCCGGCCCAGAGTCCGGCCCAGGGCCCGGCAGCGGCAGCCTGAGGAGACGCCGTGACGCGCGGCTCCTCGCCTCCCTCCCTTCCCCTCAGGGCGCCCGCGTCCCGCGGGCTCACAGCCGGAGCTCCCGGGGACGCAGCCCCACGCGAGAACGCACCGGCAGCCCCCGCTTGGGGTGGGGTCTCCCGGCTGCCAGAAATCCCACAAAGTCTTACTTTGCGGCGGCGCGCGGCTTACCGTGCGAGCCGCCAGGAACGCGGCGCCCCGTGGTGCCTCGGCGCGGCGCCCGCCGGTCGCTCCGCTGCGGGTCCCGGGAGCTCAGCCTCTGCCCCTCGAGGCGCGCGAGCGCCTCCGCCCGGCGTCCGGGCCTCCCCGCGCCGCGGCGCCCCATTGGCTCGGGCAACGAGGCCCCCGGACGGCCCCGCCCACCCTCGCCCCCTCCCCCGCCCCCTCCCCCGCCCGCGCCTCGCGCCTCTCCCCTCTGCCCCGCCGGTTTCACCTCTCCAGGCAGGGAAAGTGGCTTACACAGTCTGAGCTCCGATACTTCTGGATCCCAAGAGTGTCTAGACGCCTCTCGCGGAGTGCGAAGAGTGCAGTGTCCTTGGAATTCAGTTTTGAGAAAGTCAGCTGACCTCCCGGACCTCAGGTGGCACCTCGGAGAAACCAGGGCCCCGGGTGAGCAAATGCCCCAGGCTGTGGGCGAGGCCCCAGGGCCAGAGTGCAACAGGGAACAAGACAAAGTCTCCTGTCTTCGGGGAATTCGCATGAGTGCAGGTGGGGATAGGTTATGTATAACACACACGAAAAAGAGAATGTCGGCCGGGCGCGGTGGCTCAGGCCTGTAATCCCAATGCTTTGGGAGGCAGAGGCGGGTGAATCACGAGGTCAGGAATTCAAGACCAGCCTGGCCGAGATGGTGACATCCCGTCTCTTGTTAAAAATACAAAAATTAGCTGGCCATGGTGGCAGGCGCCTGTAATCCCAGCTACTTGGGAGGCTGAGGGCAGAGAATTGCTTGAACCCAGGAGGCGGAGGTTGCAGTGAACCAAGATGGCGCCATTGCACTCCGGCCTGGGCTATGGAGCAGACTTAGTCTCCAAAAAAAAATTAAAATAAGAGAATATCAGATTGTGATAAGCAGTGTTGTTTCAGAGGTGCTGGGTTGGTGTGGGGGTGGCAAGTGGCAAGAAGGTGATTAAAAATAAGGAGCCAGGCTCAGTGGCTCATGCCTGTAATCCCAGCACTTTGGGAGGCCGAGGCACACGCATCCCCCCAGGTCAGGAGTTCGAGGCCAGCCTGGCCAACATGGTGAAACCCCCATCTCCACTAAGAATACAAAAAAAAAAAAAAAAAAAAAAAAATTAGCTGGACACGGTGGCACGCGGCTGTAGTCCCAGCTACTCAGGAGGCTGAAGCTGGAGAATTGCTTGAACCTGGCCTGGGAGGCGGAGGTTTCAGTTAGCTGAGATCTGGTCACTGCACTCCAGCCTGGGCGACAGAGCAAGACTGTCTCCAAAAGAAAAAAGAAAAAAAAAAGAAAGAAAGGGGTCTAGGACTGCTATAACTAGGGTGGCCTCTGGGCCAATTGTGGTATTTGAGCTCTCTTGAAGGACAAAAACGATTCCAGGGCTGAAGCAGGAGCATTGCTGAGAGGGGTTGGCAGATGTGTGGTTCTGAGGCTGGAACTGGACTCCAGGGTTGTTCAGTGAGATGAGCAAGGGAAGAGTGGGTTATGGCCAGAGAGGTGGACCAGTGTGGAATCACTATCACCCAGAACCTTATAGGCCACCGTGAGGATCAGGGCCTCATCACGTCAATCTGGGGAGAACACAATTCAGGCAAGAGATGATGCTAGTGAAGACCAAGGTGGTGACAGCAAGATGGGGAAAAGATGGACCCACTGAAATGTGTGTCAAGAGTAGCACAGAAAAGCTTGATGATGGATGAAGCTGGATTTAGGGGATGCTATGGTTTTAATATCTCTCCCAAAGTTCTTATATTGGAAAGTTAACCCCCAATGCCACTGTGTTGAGAGGTGGGATCTTTAAGAAGTGATTCTATTAATGCCAGGAGTGGCCCTCTCAACACCCCTCTGTTGCTCTCTTGTTCTGCCTTCTGCCATGGGATGACTCAGCAAGAAGGCCTTCACCAGATTCAGCCCCTCAATCTTGGGTTCCCCAGCCTCTAAAGCCATAAGCCAAATAAAGTGGTGTTCCTTATAAATTACCCTGTCTGTGATATTCTGTTATAGTGGCACAAAATAGACTATGTTAGGGATCGACATAAAGGAATGAATGAAGAAAATCTTCTACTTGTTTAGTTTGAGCTACTGTGAGGTAGTGGTACTATTACTAAGCTTGGGAAGGTTCGCACCCAGCCTCTTCTACTTACTGCATGAGCTTTAGTAAATGAGCTTAGTAACTAAGAGGGAGTGACTCTAACCTCAGTAACTAAGAGGGCAGAAAACTAGCTCAAGGATCACAAACTTTAATACTGATGTGGCTGGGCAGTCATGTACCTAGTGAAGTGGGCAAGAATGTATTAGAAAGGTGGGATGGGGCTTGTCACAGACTGAGATATGTGCAGCTGCCTAAGGGGACAGTCACTGCTCAGCTCAAACTAATTTTTGCCATGTGAGAATGGAGACCCAGAACTGCTAGATGTTCTGATTTTTTTTTATCTTCTGAGATGGAATCTTGCTCTGTCACCCAGGCTAGAGTGCAGTGGCATAATCTTGGCTCACTGCAACCTCTGCCTCCCAGGTTCAAGCAATTCTCCTGCCTCAGCCTCCCAAGTAGCTGGGATTACAGGCACCTGCCACCATGCCCGGCTATTTTTTGTACTTTTATTAGAGACAGGGTTTCACCATGTTGGCCAGGCTGGTCTAGAATTCCTGACCTTATGATCTGCCTGACCTTGTGATCCGCTGGCCTCCCAAAGTGCTGGGATTATAGGCATGAGCCACTGCACCAGGCCCTGATTTTTATGAATCGGCCAGAAATTCAGATTATGTTAAATCTCTAGTTTTTTAAATTGTGGTAATTAACTAAAACTTTTTTAAAAGACTGTATTGGCCAAGACTGTTGGACAAAAAATCAAACCCATGTATGGGCTGGATTTATCCCCTTACATACTATTTCCACCTCTGGATTAGACAATACCTCCAGACCTTTAAAGAAACCCTTATAGTGTCTCTCCAGATTGAATGAGAATAATAATGGAAAATAAGAAGATCAAGGAAATCCCAACTGAAAAACCCAGCGTAGCCTTTAATGGCATTTGGCCAGCCCCTGCCTCCATCTACCTGGCATAGTTCTTCCAAGCCTCAGTTTCCCTAAGGCTAGAGCACAGCTCCTCCAAGACTCCTCCCAACTGTAACCTTTGGAGGTATAACATCATCATAATTTTTCTTAAATATTGGTTTTCAAATATTCACAGGAACGTTGCTTGGGGAAACATGGAAGGTGTGCTCGTATCTGGGTCTGTAAATCTAAAAGGCCTCAGCACTCAGTCTGAAGCAAGGAATGAAAGAGGAAACAGAGTGGGACAGAGGTTTTAGATGAGAAGCCAGGCAAATTATTGCATGGAGAATTATTTTTTATTGCACTCTGAATAAGGAAAAATGGCAATTAGATGCAGGAGAGCTTAATGGTTTCTACTAAAAATTCATTGTATTGTAGCCACTTCTCAATATATATTACCAAGGGTTTTGCAGTAATGAGATTCTCCTATCATGCATTGGAGGTCAACTGCATTCTAGCATTATTTATTCTTACGTACTGAGCTCATGTAATGAAAAAGGCCTGAAAACAGAAAATCACTCTCTGTAGAGTCATTCCCTTTGTTCCTATCTTCTCCACCTTAGACATAATTTAAAGCTGGAGAAATGGCTTATGATTTTATAAATTGCTGGGATTTGTGTAGGAGGGTCAACATGGATTAGGAACCGGGAGACCTGATACTAAGTCCTTGAATAACTTCTTCATCAGTAGAAGGAGAGCTGACAGAAGGTGGCTTCCTAGAAGATTTGTTTCTATTTGTGCTCTACATTTCTTCTGAGGGATTTTTTTTTTTTTTTTTTTTTTTTGGTATGGTGACCTGGTAATTCCCAGGGACAGATTCTTTCACAATTTGCCACTCCCTAGCTCCCCCAAAAATCCTTGAGAAAAGGATGTCATCTAAGTTGAGCCTATTGGATGCTCACTCCTGGGACTTTTCTTTTCCTGAAAGTGACGAAGATGAAGAGGCAGATTGGACATGAGACTGCTTGCTTACAGTGACGGTGGTGGCAGCAGTTTCCTGGACTCTTGATCATGAATCTTGTTGCCCAACCTCCAGAATTTCCTAGATTTCTGTTTAAGTCTAGTCCTTCCATCCCTGTCCGCTACCCGATTTTATTTTGTGAGTCTCCCATCTCTGTTAAACTGTCTTCTTGTGTTAGCTACTCCAGTTATTGCTTTTGCTTTTAACCAAAAATTCTCATGGATCTAGGAAGAAAAGAAACATATTGCATCATATGATCCTTTCCCCAGGGCAACAATTCAGCACAGGAATTTGCATACAGATGGATGCACACACGGTGATAGGTATACATGTTCCCTCGCTAGGTATACATGTTCCCTTGCTACTCAGTAAGAAATCCAACTCCATGGGGTGGTGGTGGTAGTGTTTAAAAGGTTATTTGTTTTCTGAAAAGAACCCAAGTCTGCTATTCTTAACAGATTTTTTTTTTAAGTGAGCAAGCTCTTACAATAACAAAACCACTCTAGAAATAGCCCTCTCGTATGTAAATTTTGTAGTTTTCAAAGTACTTTCATATAAATTCCCTCATTTCATATGCACTCCTGTGAAGTAGGCAGAATAGATAGTATTCACAGTTTATAGATTATTATAATCATAACTACCATTTACTGAACACATGTTATGTACCAGGCACTGCTAAATGCTTTATGTACCCATATGCCTATCTTGTTAAGGAGGTATTATTATCCTAATTTTATAGGTGAAGAAATGGAGGGTGACCCAAGGTCATATAGCTAATACATAGTTGAGGTGAGAACTTGAACTCAGTTCTCTCTGACAACAAAGGCCATGTGTGATTTAGCACACAACTTTGTGTCATTTAACATAACTGATGAGTGACAGAGCTATACATGGGACATAGGTCCTATATCAGGACAGTTTCCACTTCATTCAGCTAAGGCTTAATCATAGGGACCAACAAGAGTGGAATCTTTTTGGTTGTCCATCCTTAGCAAGATTTTTCAGGTGATAGGAAAAGCTTTTTAATATTTTACTTTACATACTTATCATGGTGTCTAAACACC